ATATTAACTTTTTTATACTAGTATTTTGTCTTTTTTCTTGTATTTTCTATTCATACTGCGTTTTATATATTCTTTGTTAGGTGTTGTAACATCGAATGTTAGTATTTTCACGACGAGAGTTCCTTGAAAACCTACCAAACTTATTGGTCATCGCAAACATTGAAAATCGGATGAGTAATGCGCACATTATCAACAATTCTTATACCCGTACTGCGTCCGAAAATTTTTTGAATTTCACATTCATTTCGAAGGCGCCGAAAAAGCATAAATATTGTTTTTCATTGATATAAAACAGAACTAGCTAGTATTGGTATTTTGCCTTGTGCCAAGTTACATGAACTTCCCGATATGTGTAAATAATCGATTTAATCAATAAAAAATAAATTAATTTATGAGTTATTAAAAGTATTCCGAGTGGATTTATTACACATCATTGTAAACGAAAGAACAAGGAGTATTTTCTTAAAGCAAATTTTCAAAAATCAACAATTTTTATATTTAAACCAGTTTTCGTAGGACTTCAATGTTCATTAAGACCAAGTACTACTATCGTTATACCAAGTAAATCGTCTAATTGTAATTTTACCAAACGTCAAAAAAACTACTCATTTTCTCAAATTTAGACGCCGGAGTCATATCCGGCCGGAGTCATATCCGGCCGGAGTCATATCCGGCCGGAGTAATATCCCGCCGGAGTCATATCCGAGTGGAGTCATATCCGGCCGGAGTCACATCCGGCCGGAGTCATATCCGAGCGGAGTCATATCCGACCGGAGTCATATCTGGCCGGAGTCATATCCAGCCGGAGTCATATCCGACCGGAGTCATATCCGACCGGAGTCATATCCGGCCGGAGTCATATCCGACCGGAGTCATATCCGGCCGGAGTCATATCCGAGCGAAGTCATATCCGAGCGGAGTCATATCCGAGCGGAGTCATATCCGAGCGGAGTCATATCCGGCCGGAGTCATATCCGAGCGAAGTCATATCCGAGCGGAGTCATATCCGAGCGGAGTCATATCCGAGCGGAGTCATATCCGAGCGGAGTCATATCCGAGCGGAGTCATATCCGAGCGGAGTCATATCCGACCGGAGTCATATCCGAGCGGAGTCATATCCGACCGGAGTCAAATCCGACCGGAGTCAAATCCGACCAGAGTCAAATCCGACCAGAGTCAAATCCGACCGGAGTCATATCCGATCGGAGTCACATCCGAGCGGAGTCATATCCGGCCGGAGTCATATCCGAGCGGAGTCATATCCGACCGGAGTCATATCCGACCGGAGTCATATCCGACCGGAGTCATATCCGACCGGAGTCATATCCGACCGGAGTCATATCCGACCGGAGTCAAATCCGACCGGAGTCAAATCCGACCAGAGTCAAATCCGACCAGAGTCAAATCCGACCGGAGTCATATCCGATCGGAGTCACATCCGAGCGGAGTCATATCCGGCCGGAGTCATATCCGACCGGAGTCATATCATTTTTAAGTTTTTCAAACATATGCTTTCGGCACCGTTAAAGCGCCTAGTCGCCTTAGTCGTATCACCTATAATCTTAGTCGTACCTTCGTACCTAGTATATGGGGTCAACTTTTCTTTAGTTATTAGTTACTAAGTAGTACATTCTTATTCATCATTTCATAGCAATCATTTTTGCATTTCTTCAGATAACCACTTGCTAAAATAAAATATAAGTATAAATATAATCGCAAATAATGCAATGTGTTTTTTATAGGAGCAAGTGGTTATCTGAAGAAATGCAAAAATGATTGCTTGTAGTAATAGTGGATGAAAATTTTAATAATGTAAATCTTGATGTAGAAAAGATGGTCATTAATTTTAGTGTACCATAAAATAGATTGATGTGTGGCCATATTTTATAGAATAAAATCATATGAATAATAAACTTCTTATATAACCAAATATTGTATCTATTCAAACCTGAAAGTTTCTCCGGCAAGGTTAACCGCGTTGTTCAACGTGAGCGAATCTAATCGTTGACATTTCAGAAGTTCTGCGAAGTCTTTCGGGTCGAGACCGGTGGCGTCAAATTTCAGGCAGGTCAGACGACTCGACAGGCCGCTGCTGGACGAGAAGGCGAAGCGAATATCTTGGCCCGTCAGCATTACGCTGTTTGGACGCCTATGGATAAATTTAAACTGATAACAAATTATACTAATTCACTGCACTGGTAAAGGTGAGGTTATACATCTAAAGGTGAGGTTATACATCTAAATAAAATTTACCTGGAAACACTCAGCCTTTCTATCTGCCTGCAGTTGAAAGCAACTCCAAGGATATCGCTGTTGCGAAGAAGAGGGTTTGCACCGAACGCGAAAACTTTAATATTTGTGGCTGCAGCTAATTGTTGATAGAATCTACGTGCTCTGAAAATTTAAATTGCAATATTAACTCTTATATTAAAACATTAAAAATAAAAACCTCTTATATTATAAACATTAAAAATAAATAATTACAAAAGCACCTTTTAGTAGCACGTTGATATTGTTTATATATATTATAAAATAATTATATACAAATTCAAGTAAAAAATACTATATTGTTAAAAATGGTTATTGTAAAGAATTAAAAAAAAAACTATATCTAATTATTGCAGCATATGTTTCGTACACATTAAGCCAATATATATGACCTAACGCTATTATATATTATCTGCTAATAAATATTATTAGCTACAGTTAGCAGTTAATAGCAAAGTCCTATGATGTATAGTTTGGGAGTTATAACCGTTTAAAGATTTCATATGTAAAAAATGCTCAAAAATGGTCGAAAAAAATAGTCTTTTTAATTTTTCACAGACTTCTCGGGCACGTGAAGGCTCCAATTAAACATCAAGTGAATTGTTACGTGGGCTAGAATAACATGAAAACTGCATTTTTATATTCTCAACGGTTGCCAAATAAATCGAAAAAAAACTGAAATCATACCACGACCCACTTGTCAAGTATTATTTCACGATTTGCGACAAAAATTTCTTGTTGCCGATTCTGATCATAATCATAACGTTGGTTCCTTATGACCTTAGAAAAATGTTATTAAAATATTTCGATCGCAGTTCAAATAGTTTTTGAAATAAACGCATTTTAAATATGCGAAAAGTAGCAGATAGTTTTTAGTTAGAGCTATAGTTATAGGAACAAAATTAAATTTGCGTCTTAGTCATTTATACCAAATTTGAGCTAAACAATTTGAATATTTTGGCAATACTTCAATGTATAAAAAATATTTTTATTTTCTTGCCTGAATACTGTTCCTTTCAGATTCAATTCTTCCAGTTCTTTGAGAGCTACCAGAGCATTCAAAAATACAGACTCAGGTATGGCATTCATTAGCTGTTTATATAATAGAAAATTATGTTTTTTAATTTAATACTAAAACGGTTAATAAATAGATAGAAACAAGAAGATTATAAATAAACAAGAAAAATTATATCAGAAACAAATTAAACAACTTAGAAAATACTCTTGTATTTGGTGTATAGTAACTATGAAACTATTTCTCTTATTTTGTTGGAATGTTCGAAAATTGTTGAAAGTAATTATATTTAAATAATGATAATTTTAATACTAAATTATATAATGATCTTACCTCTTTTGGAATATTTTTGTTGTACAATTTGGCATCTTCTTCATTTCTTGAACAATACTTGACATGCAGAAGTTTCAATTGAAGGTTACATCTGCATAATTGCCGAACTACACTCACAACATCACCTTAAGAAAATTCGAACATAACAAATTTTTAGAAGTATTTAATAAGCGTATTTCGTATTTTTTTAAATTAATACAAGTATGTAGCCAAAATCAGTATTCAAATAAATTAATAAACAGATGTAGCCGTCGCCGTCGATGTAGTTCAATAATATAATTTAGTTTCGTAAAAATTGAAAATATCAAAATCCAGATACAAATCTAATATAAAACATTACCAATTCTATATAATCGTAGTTCTTGCAGTTGAAAGCCAGATTGTCTTAAATCTTGAAGAATTTGAATATTATTTATCGATAAATGGGCATAACGTAATCGTGTCTGTAACGCCGGATGCCTGGTTGCCTGCATCCATTTTCGCGACACGTGTGATACCTATGAGAAAAAAAATTAATAGATTTAATAAAACAAATATTATTTTTTTAAATTACATACACTTTCTCGCAATTCCTCTTCGCTAAGATATCGAAAAACGTTCAATAATATATTATCAGGCAGATCATCGTAGCTGTGAGTGATTACAAGGCTGTCTAATGTACCCAAACTCCAGGAGGATATAGAAGCAAGTTGCTCTGCATTTCTGTGGATAATATAGCTTGTATTAAATAAAATTATAATTTATATAAAATATGTGCATTGAGCCTTACCTTAATTTATATTTCGATTTATTATTATTTCTTTATCAATATATAGATAATTTGTTAATAAACAGGCTACCTTTATTTTTATTTACTATATTAGTTTAATGAAGTACTTAATGGTTAATGACAGTTGTAACAGGAATGCCAACTACATAATTACAAAAAACAATATTATTATCTTTTGATATCAAAATTAATCGATAGTTATTTTTAAAAATATATTTACAAGCACACAAAGAAATTTCACTCACTGTTTTATATTATATACAATATCTTATATTAAAAATAGTAAATCAATAAAAAAAATAGTGCTGTAAATTTTCTTGGTAAAAATTAATAAAAAAAAATCAATGCTTCCGGTCCTATTAGTTCAGGAGGAAGATGATTGTGATATTATTATATATTATTCTTTTTTTACCAGAATTTTACAACAAAAATTTGTACAAATACCGATAATATCTTAACAAAATAAGAGAATACTATAAGAGTTAATTACAATTAGCTAAATTCAAAAGAACCATACTACTTAAAAACTTTACGCGCGCCATCTACTTCACGATAGCCAAACTTTTCAAAATTGTGCAGAATGACAGTTGCAAAAGTCATGTAAATATTACGAACCTACAAATTGGCAAAATTTTAGTTATACATTATCATAACCAAATTAAAACATTTTTCAAAATTTAACAATACAGTTTTGATTTTAGAAAAAATATTTTTTACTAAATCATTCAAAACATTATGGTTAACCATGGGCATAGCTGTGAGGGTGATCATAAACATGATAATACCCCCGAAATGGGGCTACAGTACAGTTTATACGAAAAAATAGATACTGAGAATTTGGAATGTTTAAATGAAACCAATGAGGGAAGCGGAAAAACTATTTTTAAACCGTGGGAAGAAAGGTTGAATTTTGAAAATGTAAATAAAAGTGATTATGGAATGACTTTGTTGGATATTTATTTCATTTATTCAATGTGTTTTATAAAAAAAACGTTGGATTATTTTAGTACGTGGAAAGCGATGCTGATGAAGAACTCTTATTTAATATCCCATTTACAGGAAATATTAAATTGAAAGGATTAATAATTATCGGTGGCGCAGAAGAATCCCATCCAGCAAAACTTAGATTGTAAGTTATTCATTTAGTGAAAAGTGTAAATAATATGCAAATATGGTATGACGTCTTTTTTGTAACATATTCATCAATTATTATTTTTCAAGTATGATTAGCCCATTATAAAATTTCTCGAAATTCAAGAGATTTATCTATAATTTGTTTAATCGGATTGTAAGAAAATTTAATAAGTATTTCTAAATATCAATTATGAAAATGGGCAAATGAAAAAAAATTAAACCATTTTTATAACTCTATGAGATTTTGTTAATAAATATGATATGCTTGCACAAGCATCGAAATAGATAATAGCAACAAAATTATATTTAATTCATTTGGCTTTTATATAATGCCACAACAATGATAGAAGCACTAGCATATAATTAATAATTGTTAAATAGAATTTAACATATATATGTTAAACAAAGTAAAAAAATTAAATATAAGATAAATTAATGATTTTTTGAAACCCAAAACCTATAAAAACAGTCAAGATCATTATTCATGCACAATATTTCAGCATTTATTACATTAACAAAGATGTAAGTTAGATACCAATAACATCAGACAAAAACTAATTAAAATTTTTTCCATGACGATAGTTTAGTAATAGATCTCATTCAAAAACACCTTTCCGCAAGGATATTCTCACAATAAAAATCAATTCATACTGGTCACCTTTTCTTTTTTGTTTTCAAGAAGCATCTATGTTATTTCTACTCATTTTATAACTTTTTTAGATATAAAAATCGGCCACATATGACATTTGATGATACTGCTGTAGCACCAGATCAAGAATTTGAATTGCATAGAGATGAAACAGGCACTCTAGAATATCCCACTAAGTATGTTTTATATATTTAACTAATGTAAAATGAGTTAAAATGAATGTATCTACAATAATAAAATTTGAAAAAGACCATGAATTCTTTAAAGATATATAGAACTATATGATAATGCTTCCGTTATTCTATTATTGAAAATTTATTCATAATCATTTCTCTTGTTTTAGAGTAGTGACATTTTCATCTGTTCATCATCTGACAATTCACATACCGGGAAATTTTGGAAGTGATTCTACGAGGGTTTATTATATTGGACTTCGAGGAGAATATACTAAAGGCCATAAACATGGTGTGACAATTTGTACTTATGAATCTGCTCCGAATGTAAGCGATCATAAAGCAGATATTGTAGAATCAGTTTCTAAACATGTTCAGTAAATTATTTCTCACGTTTTTAAATTATTTAATAAAAATTAATCATAAATTTGTTTGTTTTTTCTGTAATTATTTTGATATTGATCCGAGATCTGAAAATGAAGTTTTATTTCATTGATTACTTACTTGTCACTGATATTTTCATTTTGATCTTCTTGTGTTTCTGTTACACAAGAAGTGACGGGACTTGGTCGTTTTGCGTATTTTTTTATTAAGCGATCAACTTTATCGATTCTTTTATTAACATTGGGATCTAAATGCGATTGCAGCATTTTAATTTGCCGAATTGTTATACTAACTTGCTTTGAAGTACATTATTTTTGCTAGTGAATGATTCTTTTGTTTTTTTTATACATTTAGATTTATCAAATTTATATTTGAAAAGAATGAATTATAATCGTAAATATAATTATAAATTATCACAAAACGCATAGGAAAAAAACGCGGCCAATCATCACAGTGTAAACATAGGATTAAGATACATTACATTTGAAAACATGATATATTTTTGATAATAAGATATATTTATTACCTTCAACTAATTTAATTTTGCTCTTCAACAACCCTTTCGTATACCATAGAGCATTTTTAATTGTGAATTAACAATAGTTCTATATAGCTTATTAACTGTTGTAGTTAAATTTAAAGAATTTTTATCTTCAGTGTAAATTTTTATGCCTGGTTTATGTACTAAAAAAGCATTGTCCAGTATGAAAAAGTCATAGTCCAACAAACACATTATATAAGCCTACAAAAAGAGCTAATTACAAATTTATATATATATATATATATATATATATATATATATATATCACTCCATCACTGCCATTTATATTGAAATTAATTTAAATAGAAATTCAAAGCATTGATTTAGGATCAACAAAGTACCTGTATCATTTTGTCCTTTCTGCCTTCCCAAGTAAAGCTTTCATCATACAGAGGATCATTTCGAGTACCTATGAATATCGGTTCCCACCACAAAAAATTGTCTCTTCTTTTAGCCACAGTAAATATATTTAAATCTAAAATTTATAAACATGGGAATGTGATATAGTATTTCATAATTCGACTTAATTATAAAAAAAATTATATTAACCTTGTTTTGCACCATCTTTACTACTTGTTCTCAGCCATGCATTTGCTTTTGGTATCTTATGACAATAAGGACAAATTTTCTTGTGAAATGGTATTGCTAAATTTTCTTTCAACATCCTGATTAGTGCAGGTTTATCTTCAGGAACTTTCACAAATTCCTCCACTTCAAATATGTTCAATGGGAAAACTCTAAGCAAGGTTGATTTCCAATTATTTTAAGACCATATAACATTATTAGTTCATTATAATACAATAGACTTTATTCTATATAGCAACATTAAAGAAACTAGGTGTAAGTGAAATTTTGTCGATTCAAGTTGCATAAACATCCTGATATATAATATAATTGACTTAATAATAATTGGGAATTAGCTATTAAGATAAACTGATGTTTATTTCAAAAATGAGCTTTCCCTTTCACTACAAAATAACCAATGTGATTTCCAATTACCACCAGTTACAGATACATGCGTTTTACATAACATATATTTTCTTACCTCGGATTTTTGCTTAATAGAGGTCCTTCGTTTCTAGCAATCATTTCTAAAAATTTTCTAATCAAATCTGGAGTAGGATACAATTCAATGTCGCTCGCTAAAACAAAGTGTGTCATTGTTGCTTCCCTTGCTATATTTCTTCCAACATTAATTGGATAAGAAAGATTAAGAATTGATCTAAAGAGCGTAGAACGTTCGACATTTGTATAAGGCGCGGCTAGAGAACAATTGAACGATTTCTTGCTCAATTGACTTCTTAAATATCTAAGACCCTAGAGAAAAATAGGTTTTTTATTAAATGTCTAATTCATTCATATTCATAATTTACTTACATATTTGCTTTTTCAAACTTAATTATACTTAAAGCGTAATACTATAATTTTAATTTGAGCAATATGTTGTTGAAAATATAAGTTTGTTGTAAATTCCCATGTCCACCAATTATTGTAGAATCATATAGTTATTCCGTTGTATTTGTTCATTTGCTGATAACATATTGTTATGGTTCTATTTAAGATTTTGTGCTAAATTATTTATGATTAACTCATAAATAATAAATAATTTATTATTAGAAGAATATTTTATATATATACAGATAACCCCCGTATAAAACGGTATAAAACGTTCAAAAAACTAGCGTGTTATAAAGAACTAGTACAAAAAGAGTGGTTTCGTTCCAAGAATTCAAAAATACTTGCTACATATCATGATTTTATAATAAATAAATGTTACATTTATTATTTTTTTTTAAGAATTAGTATACAATCTCAATTTTTAAACAGTGTTAGAGGGAATCCGTGTTATAGAAGTACCGTGTTATGCGGAGGTTACTTGTATATATGATATTCTAAAAACTTCATATGTATATAATACGCCTGAAACTATTACTATTACTCACATGATTAGGAACATACGCTTTTTCAAAATACACATGGAATGTGACAAATTCGCGTACTAGATTTGAATACGGTCCACAATCTCTAAGATAGCGTATTGAATCGAATGCCGGAAGAAAATCTGTGCCTGGAGTATATAAAGCCAGGCTAATTGGCCCCATCCATCGCTCCAACAAGGGAACTACATTGTCCAAATAAGAATGATCAGCATGAGTTGAAAATGTTATAGAATCTGTGCATTCCAAAGGACCATGATTTGCTTGCACGTAATTGCGCATCACCCAAAAATCGCCCCTTTGTTCGGTTCGCATAATATAATCCCGATTTTTACATTTCAGCAATGCCTGTAAACAAACAATTGTAAATTAATTATATTTTTGATTTTTCTTAACTACTTCTTTCTACTAGCTACTCAAGAATACTACGTATTCTTTGAGCTGTATTTGCAAGTTATTTTCTTTGAGAAGGCAACTCAGTAGGATTAACCACTGTTTTCTTAATTACTATAGCGTTACTTAATTATATATTAAATACTTACTTTTAATTTGACTAGCAAGTTTTCATCTTTTGCATAATCCCAATGGTTTCGCGGTAAAATTCTAGATGTTGCAAAGCGTCTAGTTTGTTTCGGGTTCAAGGAAGCTATTGTTGCTCGGCAGTTGATCAGATCATATGTTAAGTTTCTAGCAATTTCATTCTGGATGATATATTTATATATATATAATCACATATGAAAAATTGAAAGACATTTAACTGGTTCATGGAATATTCTTTAGATACGGTCAGCAGCATCAAAAATTTTGACATGGTTTTTGAATTCTTAATTTCAAGCATCATTTTTATCATAAATTCCATTTTCAATTTCAATTATTGAAATGTCAAAATTAGAATTGAATAGACTAAATATATTTAGTTTATAAACATATAAACAAGTTGATAACTTTCAATATAAATATAATATTTTATACGCCTTTAATACATCACCTTTAATTCGTTCCTTTCGATGATTTCAAATCTATATTTTCCCAGAATGGACGATTTCAGAATTAAAGCAGTTATTAGCAATAATCCTAATATGAACCATATCCATCTTTTATTTCTGTAATATTTCAATTGAAATGAAAAAGTTATAAGTATATACATATACAAATTGATCCTGAACTATATTTCATATTTGGTGAATATTTAACATGAGTTTGGCGTTTGTTCTATGGTTAAAATATTTATGCAAAGCAAAAGTAAATGAACTTGCATTTGCATTTTTAAATTTGCTTTCACCGAAAGCGTAATTTTTTTCGGCTTTTACAAATTCCGCAGGACGAGTCGACTTATTGTATAACAATTCTTTATTATTTCACGCTATATTTACACAAGTATAATTGACTGAAAAATATTACAAAAAATCTAAACAAATAACTTACTTTAAAATAATGTGGTGCATATTACTTTTATTTCCTCAAGTATTCACAAAAAGTTGCAATCAAAAACTTCTGCAGCATTGATTTAATAATCGCTTTTCTTTTGTCATTTAAATGTGAAACTTCTTTTGTTTTTCAAATTCCATGTTGAGCTACTTGTAGTAAATGAAAAAAGAAACTAGAATGAAATTGTAAGATAATGTCGGTCCCGTTAAGACTTATAATAAATAACGAATTTTATACTTTCAAACACAAAATGTGAATTCTATATTATATTTATTATAGCACATATTATTAAAATAACTTAAAACTATTAAATACGAATATCTAAATACTGACATTAAAATTACTGTACAGTTTTACAAAACATATGTAAACAGAAAGATCTCAATGTATACCTAAAATTGTCATAGTGATTATTAAGGCACAGTTTTAAAATACTTAATACTAAATTTACATGTTTTAAATAAGAAAATATAAACATCGCACAAAGAATAGAGATTTAATTTTTTTTTTTTTTTGAAAATATGACGAGAAAACAAGAGTAGTACAATAATAATAAATAAGTGGAAACAATTTAGTTAAAAGTAATTTTTTTTTTTTGCAAATTTGCCTACCTCTTATAAATAAAATCGTTATAGATAAATTATTTAATTAACATAATATTCACAGGTTCATGATCAATATGTACATTCTGTTCCTCGGAATTCATATTAAATCTTATTGTACATATCAACAAAAATTAATTATACATACAGAATTAATTGATTGTACAATATTGTTTTATACAGAATATTAAATTAATTACGGCAAGTGTAGCCTCTTATACTAGATTGCACGACTTCACAACATAATAAAGAAGTGTCAATTATCATTTTCACAATTCATATTTAATAATGACACTAATGTTTATTATAATAAAAATATATTTTTATATAACTGTTTTAATCGTGTAGCTAATCTCACTGCAAAATGTTCACGATGCTAAACAGCACATCCCTTCCGAACCCCATAAAGCACTTTGAGCTCAGGAAAGATAATTAATTTAATTAATTTATTTGTTTTTGTGGATAAAACTTGTCTCTTAGGATCTATCTTATAGATTTTTATGCCTGGTTTATGCACTAGGAAAGCATTGTCCAATATCAGAAAGTCATAATCCAAAACGCACAATGCGTAACCCTGAAAATTAATAAATGGAATATGCAATTGTCGATTTATTTTTTATAAGCCGCAGATGTGCTAATAAAATTATTTAATAAAAATGCAATAAGTATTGAAATGATTCATCTTGTCCTCGTGTTGTAAATGTATGTAATAATCAAAAATATATAATTGAAAAGTGATTAGAAACTTATAACAAAATATTTATTATTGAAATGAATTGATATTCAAATTAGGCATTAAAGAAGTTCCCAGCTACGTCCAAAAAAAATGTTTCATGAATGAATTGTGGAAATAAATACCAAATGCGATGTTATGCAAACCAAATTTATGAATGAAACAATGAATGATCTGTTGAATAGAGCAGTTATATAGTCCAATAAATGTAATCATGAATTCCACCATACAATGAATGAATGTTTGAATTGATTATTGTTATCGCGAGAAGAAAAAATACAGGGAACCGAAAGCCGAAGCACAAGATCAAGAAGCATGGAAGCAGAAGTTTGGAAAGGAAAATACATGAAAAAAGGAGAGGGGGATTAGTGGTAATGAGAATAATAGATGAAGGGAATCATTTCTTTGTGGTGGCTTCCACACCATGGACCTGCCTTCCGGCAGACTACCATTTATTATTATTATTGTTAATTGATTAAAACCTATTTTTCTTTTCAAAATATATGTAACAGTTGGTGCAATTGCATAATAATAATTATATTTAAAAATAGTTTCATAAATTCAAAAAAAAAATCTGGAATGGTATTTAAGGTGTACTAAAAAGAAATCCATTATTCTTGCATGAAATTGAAGGTTTTAATTATCATAGTTAAATGATCCGATTTATATAAAAAATGCGCCATTTTCATCGATAACTTGTTGCCATTTTGGAGAAAACATCATTGTGCCCCTCTAGTAGAATCCCTCTTCTCTATTGGCAAAACAATTCACTCGGTCGGTTTGCACAATCTTCTCTTGAAGCAAATTTTTCACTAGCAAAACCGTTAGCCATGCACAGAAACGGCAGAGAGTAATCATTTGGTGCCAATTCCGAACTATAAGGTGGATACGTAAGAACCTCCCAATTAAGCTCGATGACGTTGTCCTGATGGAACACAATTCCTCTTATGTTGGCCAAAGATAGCCGCTTCTGAAGATCAAATCGTTGATGGCACAGTTCCAAGCCAGGAGTTTTGCCATAGGGGAACAATTCGGAGTAGTTAATTCCCAATCAATCCCACCACAAACACAGCAAAACCTTCCGGTTCGTCAATCCTGGCTTGGCCACTGTTTCCGACTCACCGCAATTAGTCAACGCAATTAGTCAACGACCGTCATTGTAAGTCATCCACGTTTCATCAGCCACTCCATAAATGGGTCAACTTGGTTGCAATTCTGCAGCGATTTGCAGATTTTAAACTTCGGTCCATGAGGTTTTTGCGTTGGCTCGTGTGATACCCATATATCGACGATCACCTTTTTGTATCCAGTCTTATTCAAACGGTTCCAAACGGTTTTTTGTGCAATCTTTAGCTCTTCGGCAATCGAAACAGTTCCTGATCATCGGTCTCGACAATGACCATTATTTTGGCGATTTTTTCGAAAACTGGCTTTCCAGTGTGTGGTGCATGTTTGATATCACAATTACCGAAACGAAATCGACAAAACAAAATTGCTCGTAATTTGCTGATACAGTGTCAGGACCATAAAATACAATGGAGGTGCATCTTTGATATTAAAATTACGGAATCGACGAAACAAAGTTGTCTGTAATTGGCCGTTACAGTATCAGGACCATAAACACGATATAAAACTGTAAAATGTAGCAAAATTTCTCTTTGCTCAAAACTGAGTCAATCTATAGCCCGATCGGACTTATATAACTTGAGATAAAGATAATTGCAACCAAGTAATGGATTTCCTTTTACTACTCCTAATATCTCAAGACATCAAGACAACAAATGAAAAATCAATAAACGATCATAACATTCATTAATGCGATTGACTATTATTGCTACTGTTGTATTATAATAAAATATTTAAAACAATTTAGTCTTTAAAATCTATTCAAAAGAAAATAAATTTGAATTTAAAACCTAAAACCAACTGGAACCAACTATAAAAATGTATATCCCAAAATCAATTAGTCTCATACTTATGAACCAAAGATGGCAGCACAAACGCACGTTTGTATTTACGACGAAGATGGCAGTACTGCAGACTTGTACAAGATTTTGACATTTCAAATCGAAATGTCAAGAAGGATTGACGTATAAATGTGGAAATATGTAAAATAATAAAAAAAATACACATATCAATAAATTAATGAAACTTATATCGGTGGATAATGTCATTAGCATCGAAAATAACATTTATTAGCTGTTTAAGTGCTGCAGTTGGAATTATAGGTTATGTTCACTATAATCAAAATGAAGACAGGTAATGTTAGAATATCTTTTTTTAAAATTATATTACATTCTGCATGCACTAGAATGAATTAACAATAGCATATTCTCAAAGTTATAATTACTTTGAATTAAAAATAGTATTTAGTTCGGAAAAAGAAATTACCATTACCATATCTAACTAATATCAATATGCGTAAAACTATATTTGATTTAGTTTGTTGTTTTAATGTAAAAAGCTTTTTTATTTGATGACTTATCAAAACAAGTACTCATGTGACATACTTTTTGTTATTAGAGAAAAATTACATGAAGGAGTGATTCGAGATGTTCAACGTCAACAGCAAAGGAAAAGAGAAAATTTATATTTACTTCAAAAGCAAATAGATTTAACAAATCAATTGAAATCAGAAATGGAAGACAGATGAAATTAATTAATATTATCTAGATATATAAATAGAACAATAATAGCAATAAATTAATTGATCATACCTGCGTCATTTTGTCTTTTTTTCCTTCCCAACTTAACCTTTCATCATATAAGGGATCATCGTGTGTCCCTATGTAAATTGGTTCCCAATTAATAAATTGACCTATTCGCTTACCTACAGTAAATACACCTAAACCTGTAATAAAAATTGAGAGTAATAAATGATTAAAAATAATGACAATTATATCGCTTAAAAGAATTGTTAGAAAACAAATATATCAAAAATTATATCCTTTTACCAAAAGCAAATTGTTAGAAAACAAATATATCAAACCTTCTGTTTCATTGGCTTTCACCCACTGTTCGGCCTTTGGTACTTTGTGACAACTGGGACATAGTCTTTTATGGAATGGTATAGCTAAATTTTTATTTAACATTGATGTTAAAGTTGTTTTATCTTTAGGAATCTCTTGGCCTTCATTGACTTCAAATATGCTTAAAGGAAACACTCTGAAAAGTTTCAAAAAATATTAATATGATTACATTATAAAATCACTACATATAAAATTGATTTTTTGTACCTAGGGTTTTTCCTTAACAGAGATCCTTCGTTTCTTGCAATCATTTCTAAGAATTTTCTAATCAGATCTGGGCTAGGATATAATTCAACATCACTAGCTAAAATAAAGTGTGTAAGTGCTGCCTCCCTTGCAATATTTCTTCCAACATTCACAGGATACAAAAGTTTATGTTTTGCTTTGTAAAGTAATGAAGCATTGGCATTCACATACGGTGCAGGTAAAGAGCAATTAAAGAATGCGCATCTGATAATGCCTCCACAGGTTTCGGAAGCTAAGAAAAATATTTTTTTGTTTGTACAAACTTATTTCTCTTTTATATAAGGTTTATATAACTTACAAATAAAATTAATAATCTCTTTCTTCAAATTAATTGTAACAATTAATTTAAACTTTACACAATACTCATTTTTAAATTAGAAAATGTATATTTAAACTTACTTGCTTGGGCATATGTTTGCTGCCAAAGTAAATATGAAAAGTAACATATTCTCTGACGAGCTCGGAACCCGGCGCACAATCTCTAAGATATCGTATAGTATCTAATGTTGGCGCAAAATCTGTGCCAGGAGCATGTAAGGCCAGACTTAAGGGCCCTCTCCAACGTTCCAATAAGGGGATGACATTATCCAAAAATGTGTAATCAGCGTGAGTAGTATATGTTATCGAATCAGTGCATCCGAGAGCTCCGTGTCCAGCTTGTATATAGTTACGCAGCACCCAAAAATCACCCCTTTGCTCAGTTCGAGTGACGTAATCACGGTTATTGCAGCGAAGCAAATTCTGCAGGAACACAAAA